TTTGTCGGGAATCAAAGGCTATAAACTTCTTAATCTTGAGAATAATTCAATTCTTATTTCTCGACAAGTGGTTTTTCACGAAGAACTTTTTCCTTTTGTTGGTACTGATCTCTCTCATCAATCTTCTATCTTCTTTTCTGATCAGTTACCAACACAACCTCCTGTGACAGATAATGTTCTTGGTGATGAGACTTCTTCTCATTCATCTTCTGTAGATATCTTGCATTCTGCGGATACTACTAATGATGTTGAGCCTTCTGCTCAGTCATCACACATGAGACTTAAAAAGCCAGCTTACTTAAAAGACTACTATTGTCATTCGATAGAGTCTTCAACCATACATCAAATCTCCTCTGTGCTTTCATATGATAAACTTTCTCCTCTTTATCTCTCTTTCTTAGTTTCTATAGATAAAGTCAAAGAACCCTTAACCTATACTGAGGCAAATAAACTTTTGGTTTGGGATGATCCAATGGATGCGGAGATTGATGCTTTGGAAGGGACTGGCACATGGACCATTTGTACTCTTCCTCCAGATAAAACTCCTATCGGTTGCAAATGGGTCTACAAAGTGAAGTTTAATGCTGATGGGACTGTGGAACGCTATAAAGCTCGTTTAGTGGCCAAGGGTTACACTCAACAGGAAGGAGTTGATTACCATGATACATTCTCTCCGGTGGTCAAACTCACTACTGTTAAACTCTTCCTTAGTCTCTCGGCAATACATGGTTATTCTCTTCATCAACTAGACATATCCAACGCATTTCTCAATGGAGATCTTGATGAAGAGATATACATGCGTCTTCCTCCAGGATATGCACAAAGAAAGGGGGACTCATTACCTCCTAACGCAGTTTGCAAGCTTGAGAAATCTCTCTACGGTCTCAAACAAGCTTCTCGACAGTGATTTCTCAAATTTTCCACTACGCTTGTTTCTTTGGGATTCTCCCAAACCCATTCAGATCATACATGTTTTCTCAAGCATTGTCCTGGAATCTTTCTTTGTGTGATTGTCTACGTAGATGACATCATTATTTGCAGCAATAATGATTCTGAGGTTTAAGTGTTGAAGACTCAGTTGAAATCTCATTTTAAGCTTCGTGACTTAGGACCTCTGAAGTATTTTTTGGGACTGGAAATTGCTCGTTCTGCTGATGGGATACATGTTTGCCAGCGAAAGTATGCCCTTGATTTACTTGATGATACCGGCTTACTTGGTTGCAAACCTTCGAGCATACCTATGGATCCGTCTATCAAGCTTATTTCTGAGCCACCTAAAGGTACTGTAGACGACTTGGTTGATGCTGCAGCTTATCGTCGTCTTGTTGGGAGGTTGTTGTACTTACAGATCACTCGCCCTGACATTACGTTTGCTGTAAACAAGCTTAGTCAGTTCTCTTCTGCGCCACGCCAGAGTCATCATAAAGCTCTTATCAAAGTCCTTCATTACATTAAAGGGACTGTTGGTCAAGGCTTGTTCTATTCGTCTAATTCTGAGATGCAAATCCAGGCCTTTGCGGATGCTGACTGGGGTTCTTGTCAAGATTCCCGACGTTCTACCTCTGGTTTCTGTATATTCATTGGTACATCTCTTATCTCTTGGAAATCAAAGAAACAGAAGGTCGTGGCTAAGAGTTCTGCTGAAGCAGAGTATATGAGTCTCTCTGTAGTATCTGATGAGTTGATTTGGTTGACGAATTTTCTGAAGGAGTTGCGTATTCCTTTGTTGAAGCAGACACTACTTTTCTGTGACAATTCAGCTGCTATCCACATTGCTCATAACTCAGTGTTTCACGAACGTACCAAGAGCATGGAAATGGATTGTCACAGTGTCCGTGAGAGGTTGGTTGCAGGATTATTCAAGCTGTTACATGTGAGAACAGAGTTACAGTTGGCTGATCCGTTTACCAAACCTATGTATCCAGCACCATTTAAGAGATTGTTGGGCAAGATGGGTCTCCTTAATATCTTCGTCCCATCTTGAGGGGGACTATTATCATATACTATGTATTGTACAGGTTTTGGTAGTTTGTATACGTGTACATGGAGGTTGTTGAGTCTGTATAGAGTATAAATACAGTAGGTTGTACATTCAGTTACAATTAATGAGAATAAGTTTGTTTAACTAAAAGATGATGTAAAGGTTCTTGGCTCCAGTGTTGTCAGCACAGTTCACTGTGGCTGCCACTGGAAGACCAAGTGACATCCTAAACTTGTTACCAGAGGTTCCTCCTCTTCCTTAAAACATATGAAACAAATGGCAGATCAGTAACAGAACATGTTATCTAGAACTAAAGGCAAGTCACTAAGGATCATTTGGTCGGAAAATGATAAAGACGACATGATAAACCCATAGATCAACTCAAATACAGTTCAAGAGGTTAATATGTATATGTATAAGGGCTCATGATCTAACATTACAGTATACGGATGACGATGAGGAGCTGGAAATAGATTCTTACCTCGCTTCGACATGGTTGCAGAGTCAGCATCTCTTCGGTGGTGGTGCAGAGAGAAGGTTTATATATGGTTAAGCTAGGGTGTGCTATATAATTAAATTATGGGGTGGCTTGGATTTGATAGTATGGGCTGTAACAGTTTACCAAAAACCCATAATGCAATGCAATACGATAAGCGAATTCTCACTATCTTAAATTTTTAACTCGCAAAATTAATGTAGTCGGTAAATCTATCTATATATACTATTTTTATATATTTATCCCTCATTTAAAAATTAAAATAGTTAATATCGTTTATATTTTTAATAAATAAGATATATAAATTAACCACCTAATAATAATAAAGTATAATTCTTTATTTTTCAACAAAAATAATTCAAAACTAAAAAACAGAAAACACATAACTAAATAGTGATAAAGTAATTATACGACAAACTTTGAATTCTTAAAGAATTGGGCTCCACCACATGTAACCGAAAAAAACAATTTTCTTTGTGTACATATATGATATAACACATGATCTATAAAGTTGCAGTTGAAAAAATGTTAATTTGTTTTGTGGTGCCAGTTCTGTATGATATTTATGATATATGAATTTCTCAATAGCAAATTATGAACAGTTTAGTAGAGGCACCGCTATTACATTTGATAAGGAGGTTTACATGGGACATCAAAGCAACTTTTTGTTTTTGTCGCCAATTAAAAATCATAATGTTGACACAAGAAAATCGAAAAGACTAAAATGATGTAATCTAACGGCTCGCAATAATATGGATGTATATAATTTTCTCCAAATATGTAAGCATAAATTTTATATTCCCATTTTTTTTGCTTTTGTTTAAGAGTTTTAAGATATTTGTTATGTTTGTACTAATTTTGGTCATTTTTTTGTTATAATGATCTTGATCCATATTGATCCTATCCAGTGGAGGCCATTATGGAGGCGTTGTATCAGTAAATTAAAGTTCAGAAGATGATAGCAATTTGGAGCAAATCATAGAGGTTCTGGGGGCATCAATTGATATGCTCAAGTCAGATGAACTTAGAGGAATACTTGAAATATTTAGAAAAAAAATGTTATTGGTGGAAAAGAGGTTTTGAAGGTGTGTGGATTCATATGTGATTCAAAATCAAAGTTTGAGTTTGGAAGATTTCAGCAACTCTCTTTCTATTGCATTACTGTTTTGAGTTTTAAAACAAATTTTGATTACTTTTGATTATCTAAATTTTTATGCTTGTTGTGTCTCTATCTCGTAAGTGAATCTGTTGAAATTCTCACATGACTATGTGTAACTAGCTTGCTTTAGCTTTTACAAACAATTCTGGTTCTATTCTTGATTTTTGGTAAGCTTTGTGGTTTGATCTCTGTAAAGAAATACTTACCTTTGTTCAATTCAGTGTACTACTAAACCTTTTCAGTATTATTTTTATTTTCCCTCTGTCAAATCTCAACCTAATAGATGATGTTCGAATATTCATTGATGGTCACCGTTTTGTGTTATGAACTTTCAGTCAATGAAAAAGTCCACATCAACTATGACAAGCTTATGATTGGAACTCAGTTACATATGTGCCTAAACTTATAAACACTGCATGAAATATTCAGCTTATGTTGGATTCGAAGATTGTGTTAATTATGTCTTCTTTTGGATTGTGTTAATTATGTCTAAAACTAAAAACTTGAGAACTTGAATCACAACTTGAGAACTTGAATCACAAGAAAATCTAAAACTAGTTAATAGATAGATAGAGAGAGAGATACATTGTTCAAAGATCATCAAAGATCTTTGAAAAAACACATATAAGCATTAAAATTCTATTTGTTATTCTTGTATCATAACCTAGAACAAGAATGTGACTTTGATTGTCTTATCCTACAAAGGGATTTCGTGTAACCCAAAAGTTTAGAATAGTGTCAAAATACTCTTTAAGGAAAACATGGCGATTCAATCATTATCCAAGTATATAGTTCACACCCATTCGAATTACCAAATATCCAAATTAACCAACAGAAAAAGGGCCAGGCCTCAAGCAACAGGGAGACCAACGAGAGATAGATTCAGGTATGCCTACTGAAGAAAGTCCACAATAACAACTTACTGAAAACTTGAAGAAGCTTTTGGAGACAAAGGCTCCCCATCTTTGTGTTAGACCCACTGTCTCCTTTTCTTTGATTGTGTTCTCCTTGGTAACTTCAACTCACCAGTCCAACAAGTCTAATCCTCATGAATGGTATATGGCTTTAAGCCAAACAGTGGGAGCTTTGTTCTCATTTTCGGTTTGGTGATGGTGCAACCAAAGTCTAAACCGTAAGAGCTAGAAAAAGGACTCTTAATCACCCACTTGGTTTACATATGCTTAATTATATAAATGGATAAGATTTCTTGTATATTTTCATAAGTTTAGGTTCAAGTTGAAAGGTATGAGGTCAAATTTTGAATAGATCTTTTTTTTTTTGTCACCTCAAGAATATTTTAGAGGGACTTTTCTGATTCTTTATATAGTGACGGGGTTATTGCGAGAACATTTACTTTTAAATAGAAAAATCACACAGACACACACACACCATAACTTCATCATCAACCTTTCTTTCTTTACGCAATTAAACTTCAACTCCACTCTCTCTCTCCACCTTGAATGTGGATCATTTCATAGAAGGAAAAGCTCTCTGCTTTTGAGTTGCTTCCCTTCTCTCAATTTGAAGAAACAGAGAGAGAGGGGCAGAGAGAGACACAGAAACAGAGTTCCTTGATAAACATTAGGCTAATCTGACCCTTTAGTTCTCAAAATTGGGTTTCTCTTAGTTTTCAAGAATCCAGAGAGAAAATCTTGAATTTTCCCCCACAAGATGTTTTGGTTTGGGTGTGACTGTTTTTACTGGAGCAGAGGAATCTCTGAGTTTGACTCGGAACCGTCCGAGCCAAAGCCCTTCTCGCTTCCCTCTCCTCTTCCTTGCTGGCCACAAGGTATCAAAAGAACTTTCCTTTTCTGGAAATTACAATTTATTATCTATATAACTATGACATTGAAAGTTGCAAGATTTCGTTTATTGCCTTGAATTTTTATTCTAATTTTGGGAAATTTTCGTCTTTTATCTTTCTCCAGCTGAAATTTCGGTCTTATTAATAAATGTGTCAAGAATTGCCATGTGAAGATCAAAAGATCGTTAATTAGCTCTCATTTGAGTTTGATTAGTCATTTATTTTATTTTACATGCTTTACATAAGATTAGATTAACTAATCATAGATCCTTCCTTGGTTAGTGTCTTAATCTTATCTAGTTTTGTGAATTAAATTATTATACTTTTTTGAAGAAGGGAACTATTTTCTGGTTTATTGAAAGTGCCAAAGTAAGATGCTTTGGAATATTCTGCTTGGTTCCCTCCCATTATCTTCTTTGTTTGACTCTTTTTTCAAGATTTTTTTCTTTACAACTTGATACACTAGTTGCTTTCAAGTCTTATACTCTCACTATCTTCTTAATTTTGGTATAATAATATTAGGAGTTGGTTTTGTTTATATTGTCCGACCATATTAAAAACAATCTCTATCTCATTTAATGTTTTGATATGGTACCATAATAGTTTATCCAGGTCCTGTATCTCTAATAGTTGTGTCCCTACCATTGCTTGTAAGGGAAAGAATGAGTGGAAACAACTTTCAGCTTTGGTTATGCATGTGAAGCTAATGATTGATACCTTCTTTTATCATTTTGAATATAGTTAAAGCTAAGCGCCTCCTCGTGCTACTACTCAGACGATTTTATCTATAAGTGTCTGTTAGTTCTTTGGTGCTGAAACTTTCTCTTGTTGCCAATCTCTTTGCAGGTCGAGGTTTTGCCAGTGGAAGAATAAACCTAGGAGAGATAGAAGTGGTTAAAATCACCAAGTTCCATAAACTCTGGAGCTCTGTTTCATCCCATGGAAAATCAAAAGGTGTAGCATTTTACAGAGCCGAGGAAGTTCCACAAGGTTTCCACTCCCTTGGTCACTATTGCCAGCCAACAGATAAGCCCTTGAGAGGCTATGTACTTGCAGCAAGAGCTAGCAAACTCGCCAATACCGATGATCTACCACCCCTGAAAGAGCCTGTGGGTTACACTTTAGTTTGGAGTGTGGAGTACTCAGAGAAAAATAATGGTGGTTACTTCTGGCTACCTAATCCTCCTGTTGGTTATAAAGCAATGGGAGTTATTGTAACAGATAAACAAGAGGAGCCTGAAACGGAGGAGGTTAGATGTGTAAGAGAGGATCTCACCGAGAGTTGTGAAACCTTTGAGAAGATACTTGATGTAGGCTCTTCTTTTAGTGTATGGACCATCCAACCTTGCGAGAGAGGGATGAGGTCACAAGGTGTATCCGTTGGCACATTCTTCTGCTGCACTTATGATCTATCTTCTTCTCAGACGGTCCGTGATATCGCATGCTTAAAGAATCTTGATCCAACCTTACACGCAATGCCAAATCTCAACCAAGTCCATGCTCTTATCAAACACTACGGACCAACAGTCTACTTCCACCCTGAAGAGAGGTACATGCCATCATCAGTACAATGGTTCTTTAAAAACGGAGCTCTACTATACCGTTCAGGGAAGAAGTCACAAGGCGAACCTATCAACTCTTCAGGCTCAAACTTACCTGCTGGTGGATGCAATGATCTGGAGTTCTGGATTGATCTCCCTGAAGACGAAGAAGCAAAGAGTAATCTCAAGAAAGGAAACTTGGAAACCTCTGAGCTCTACGTTCATGGAAAGCCAGCACTCGGTGGAACGTTCACTGATATAGTGATGTGGATCTTCTGCCCATTTAATGGCCCGGCTACGCTCAAGATCGGTCCCTTCACTTTACCTATGAACAGAATAGGAGAACATGTTGGTGACTGGGAGCATTTCACTTTCCGTGTGTGTAACTTCTCTGGTGAGCTTTGGCAGATGTTCTTCTCTCAGCATAGTGGTGGAGGTTGGTTTGATGCATCTGAGATTGAGTTTGTTAAAGATAACAAACCGGCGGTTTACTCATCTAAACATGGACACGCTAGCTTCCCTCACCCTGGAATGTATCTACAAGGATCGTCCAAGTTTGGGATTGGAGTGAGAAACGATGTTGAGAAGAGTAAGTACTTTGTGGATTCTAGCCAGAGGTATGTGATTGTAGCGGCTGAGTATTTAGGGAAAGGAGGTGTGGCTGAGCCGTGTTGGTTGCAGTATATGAGAGAATGGGGACCAGTGATAGAGTATGATTCAGGGTCTGAGATTAATAAGATAATGGATCTTCTTCCTTTGGTTGTTAGGTTCTCGATTGAGAACATTGTGGATTTGTTTCCTATTGCTCTGTATGGAGAAGAAGGTCCCACGGGGCCAAAGGAGAAGGATAACTGGGAAGGAGATGAGCTGTGTTGAAAGAAGAGAAGGATGAAGTCTCTTTGCTATTTGAAGCTTTGCTAAGTATACCAGTTTTAGGGTGTAATTGTGGTGGTTTGTAATATGATGATGTTAAAAGTCTCCCCAAAAAAATGTATCACTACTTTGTTTCTATACAAACTTCATATACATGAATGGCAGGTTGCTAGATTCTACCATTTGAAACATGTGTAATGTAAGTGACCACACTCTTCCAGCTGCCAACAACAACATCTTATGACATCACCATACTTATCAATATTGTCTAAGCTCACATTTCATCTCAAGAACACACAAATCCATATGGTTATACTCAGAGACTGTTGGAAAGAGTCTTGGTTCTACTCGAAGAGTATTGAGAGTGTCAGAAAGGGGAGCGGAAATGCTGCTGACGTGGCTACGTCAAATTCAAACTTTTAAGCCTGTACGCAGTTTGATAGAAAGCCTTGAAAACTACTTGATGTTTGATGCATCTAATTATATAAGCCTGTATGCAGTTTGACGGAAAGCCTTGAAAATTACTTGATGTTTGATGCATCTAATTATATAATTAGTTAGGAAGATTGTTCCTAGAGTAAGGTAATTTAAATATTTAAAATTATCAAAACTGGTAACTAGAGCTTCTAACTATTAGTATTTGATTATATAATAAACTTTAGTATATATAGCATTTATTAGAAAGAACTCAATATTTTCGTAAGATAAATTTAAAAATATAATATTTTTTAATGCATAATTTCATCATGCATTGACATGTAATGAAGATTAAAGAGGTCTGAGATTTTAAATGTACATGTTTCTCCAGAAAATATAGATTTTATAGGGATTAGTCCACTGAACTACGTGGAATATGAAATTTTTATTAAGTTATTCATTAAAATATTAAAAATAATGACCATGAAAATAAATTTAAAATACTATAATAATGTGATTAAGTATTTTTAATCAACAATCAGTATATAGCATTTATCAGAAAAAAATCGATCTTTTTGTAGGAGTTAATGCACAAATTTCAAAATAAATTAGAAAATATGATACTTTTATTTTAATGCATAGATGCATCCAACACATATATAGAATGAATATCAAAGATGTTTGAAACTTTTATTGTCTCAATTTCTCTAGAATATAGAGATTTCATAAAGTTTAGTTCTTTTATTTATGTGGTATATGAAATTTTATTAAATTATTCGTTGGAAAATTATAAATGATGTCTATGTACCATGAAAATAAATTTAGCATAAATTAGTATTGTGGTTAATATTTTTAAAAAACATAATTAAGCTAAACTTAAAGAGGTTAATACTTTTAAACAAATTAATTAAGCTAAATAACAAAATTTCTATTTTTTCTTGAAATATGTAGGTTAACCCCTTTGAAAAAAATGAATTTTTCGATAAATGCTATCTATGATTTTTAGATACTTTAGTGTTGTTTAAAAATACCAATATATAATTTAAATGTATACTAACGTATGCTAAACATATTTTCATGGTACATAGTCATCATTTCTAACTTTCCAATAAATAATTTATTTAAACTTCATATACGAACTAATTTGTGTACTAACCACTATAAAATCTCTATTTTCTAGAGAAATGGGAACATATAAAACCTCTTTAATCTTAAAAATACGCCAGTTCATGATGCGAATATGCATTAAAAAAATATAAAAAAAATTTATAATTTTTCTTAAAATATGTTGGTTAACCCCTTTGAAAAAATGAATTTTTTGATAAATGCTATCTATGATTTCTAGGCACTTTAGTGTTGTTTAAAAAAAAACCACACTATAAATACATATTAACATAGGCTAAACATATTTTCATGGTACATGGTCATCATTTCTAACTTTCCAAGGAGTAATTTATTTAAACTTCATATACGAACTAATTAGTGTACTAGCCACTATAAAATCTCTATTTTCTAGAGAAATGGGAACATATAAGGTCTCAAACCTCTTTGATATTCAAAACATATCATTTCATGATGTAAATATGCATTCAAACAAAAATAAAAAATGTCTAATTTTTCTTGAAATATGTGGGTTAACCCCTTTGAAAAAATTGAATTATTCGATAAATGCTATCTATGATATAGATTTTTAGACAGTTTAGTGTTGTTTAAAAATAGAAAAACACACTCTAAATGTATATTAACGTATGCTAAACATATTTTATGGTACATGGTCATAATTTCTAACTTTCCAATGAATAATTATTTAAACTTCATATACGAATTAATTTGTGTACTAACCATTATAAAATCTCTATTTTCTATAGAAATGAGAACATATAAGGTCTCAAACCTCTATATTATTCAAAATATTTAAGTTCATGATGTAAATATGCATTAAAACAAAAATAAAAAATGTCTAATTTTTCTTGAAATATGTGGGTTAACCCCTTTGAAAAAATTGAATTTTTAGATAAATGCTATCTAATATCTATGATTTTTAGACACTTTTGTCATGTTTGTAAATAACAACCCACACTCTAAATGTATATTAACGTACGCTAAACATATTTTCATGGTACATGTTCATCATTTCTAACTTTCCAACGAGTAATTTATTTAAATTTCATATACGAACTAATTAGTGTACTAACCACTATAAAATCTCTATTTTCTAGAGAAATAGGAACATATAAGGTCTCAAAACTCTTTAATCTTCAAAATATGTCAGTTCATGATGCAAATATGCGTTAAAACAAAAATAAAAAAATTTCTAATTTTTCTTGAAATATGTGGGTTAACCCCTTTGAAAAAATTGAATTTTTTTTGATAAATGCTATCTATAATTTTCAGACACTTTTGTGTTGTTTAAAAAAACAAACCACATTATAAATGTATATTAACATAGGCTAAACATATTTTCATGGTACATGGTCATCATTTCTAACTTTCCAACGTGTAATTTATTTAAACTTCATATACGAACCAATTAGTGTACTAACCACTATAAAATCTCTATTTTCTAGAGAAATGAGAACATATAAGGTCTCAAACCTCTATAATCTTCAAAATATGTCAGTTCATGATGTAAATATGCATTAAAACAAAAATAAAAAAAATCTAATTTTTCTTGAAATATGTGGGTTAACCCCTTTGAAAAAATTGAATTTTTCGATAAATGTTACCTATAATTTTTAAACACTTAAGTGTTGTTTAAAAATACCAAACCACACTATAAATGTATAGTAATGTAGGCTAAACATATTTTCATGGTACATGGTCATCATTTCTAACTTTCCAACGAGTTTATTTAAATTTCATATACTAATTAATTAGTGTACTAACCACTATAAAATCTCTATTTTCTAGAGAAATAGGAACATAAAAGGTCTCAAACCTCTTTAATCTTCAAAATATGTCAGTTCATGATGCAAATATGCGTCAAAACAAAAATAAAAAAATTTCTAATTTTTCTTGAAATATGTGGGTTAACCCCTTTGAAAAAATTGAATTTTTTTGATAAATGCTATCTATAATTTTTACACTTTTGTGTTGTTTAAAAAACCAAACCACATTATAAATGTATATTAACGTAGGCTAAACATATTTTCATGGTACATGGTCATTATTTCTAACTTTCCAACGAGTAATTTATTTAAACTTCATATATGAACTAATTAGTGTACTAACCACTATAAAATCTCTATTTTCTAGAGAAATGAGAACATATAAGGTCTCAGACCTCTTTGATCTTCAAAATATGTCAGTTTATGATGCAAACATTCATTAAAAAAAAAAATTCTAATTTTTCTTGAAATATGTGGGTTAACCCCCTTTGAAAAAATTGATTTTTTCGATAAATGCTACCTATAATTTTTAGACACTTAAGTGTTGTTTAAAAATACCAAACCACACTGTAAATGTATATTAACGTAGGCTAAACATATTTTCATGGTACATGGTCATCATTTCTAACTTTCCAATGAGTAATTTATTTAAACTTCATATACAAACTAATTAGTATACTAACCACTATGGAATCTCTATTTTCAAGAGAAATGGGAAGATATAAGGTCGCAAACCTCTTTAATTTTCAAAATATGTCAGTTCATGATGCAAATATGCATTAAAAAAAAAAAAAAAAAATTCTAATTCTTAAAATATGTGAGTTAACCCCTTTTAAAAATTTGATTTTTTCGATAAATGCTATCTATGATTTTTAGACACTTTAGTGTTGTTTAAAAATACCAAAACACAATATAAATGTATATTAACGTATGCTAAACATATTTTCATGGTACATGGTTATCGTTTTTAATTTTCAAATGCATAATTTATTTAAACTTCATATACGAACTAATTAGTGTATTAACCACTATAAAATCTCTATTTTCTAGAAAAATGGGAACATATAAGGTCTCAAACCTCTTTGATCTTACAAATATGTTAGTTCTTGATTAAAATTTGCATTAAAAATAAAATAAAAAATGTCTAATTTTTTTTAAATATGTGGGTTAACCCTTTTGAAAAAATTGAAATTTTCGATAAATGTTATCTATGATTTTTAGACACTTTAGTGTTGTTTAAAAATACCAAAACACACTCTAAATGTATATTAACGTATGCTAAACATATTTTCATGGTACATGGTCATCATTTCTAACTTTCCAATGAATAATTTATTTAACCTTCATATACGAACTAATTAGTGTACTAACCACTATAAAATCTCTATTTTCTAGAGAAATGAGAACATATAAGGTCTCAAACCTCGTTAATTTTCAAAATATGTCAGTTCATGGTGAAAATATGCATTAAAACCAAAATAAAAAAAAATATCTAATTTTTCTTGAAATATGTGGGTACCTCTTTGAAAAAGTTGAATTTTTTTATAAATGCTATCTATAATTTTTAGACAACTTTGTGTTATTTAAAAATACCAAACCACATTTATCTTATTCAAAATATGTCAGTTCATGATGTAAATATGCATTAAAACATAAATAAAAAATGTCTAATGTTTCTTGAAATATGTGGGTTAACCCCTTCGAAAAAAATGAATACTTAGATAAATGCTTTCTATGTTTTTTAGACCCTTTTGTCATGTTTATAAATAACTAACCACACTCTAAATGTATATTAACATACGCTAAACATATTTTCATGGTACATGGTCATCATTTCTAACTTTTCAACGAGTAATTTATTTAAATTTCATATACGAACTAATTAGTGTACGAACCACTATAAAA